GGGGGGGGGCGCGGCTCACGCCGAGCGCGTCGAGAACACGCGGGCTGAGAGCCTCCACCCCACCTCGCACGCATGTGGACGATCACACAGCAGCGAAACCGTGGGCCTGCAAGGCGGCCCTTGCCCAGAGCTACGGTGCATTTTGGGGGGGGGTGATATCAACGAAGAGAAAACCGCCCACCAGCTGCTTCTTCTCCTGCAGCTTGAGGATGCGCTCCTCAATGGTGCCGCCCAGCACGAAGCGCGTCACCCTCATGGCCTTGAACTGGCCCAGCCGGTGGATCCGGTCCTGCGCCTGCTGCTCCACCGCGGGGTTCCTGGAAACAGACGGCAGGGCAGACAAACAGACGGGCGGCGAGGGGGGGTTCCTCAGGGCGCTGGGCAGCGACGTGAGCGAGCGGGCTCGATGCAGAGGGGGCAAAAGGATCAGGAATGGCGGCGTGGGAGGGGAACCGGGCGCATAAATCGCCCAGGTGCCCTGCGCCGCCTGGTAGAAGAGCAGGCCGCGCGTCGCGGGGGCCGGCGCGCGGCGTAGGCTCAGCCCGCGCGGCGGGCTGGAAAGAGATCTTTTATGGCAGGCGCGTGACTCCGTGCCGCTGCCCCTCCCAGCAGCCCCGCTGGGCGTTTGGCGGCCGCCCGTTCTCGCCGCCATCTAGGGGGACTGGCTGGACTAGCCGGTGTGTGACGCGGCTGCTGACTCACCACCAGGGGTCCATGAGCATGACGTGGCTGGCCGCAGTCAGGTTGAGGGCCACGCCGCCTTGGGTTGTGGGGGTGTGAGAGAGTGGGGATGAAGAGGGGGTTGTGTGAAGGGAAGGGCGGGGGTGCCTCGCAACCACGTGGCGGGCTGGGCTAGCATGCAGACCATCGCAGAAGTGGCGTGTTGGGCTGTGTGCTCAAGAGGTAGAAGCAGGAGCAGACACAGGGGCACTCGGCGCCAGGCCAGATTGGACGAGGACTGAGCACAAACCCAGCCGCAGCACGGCGCCGCCCCATGGGGCCATGGTCACCTGAACACACACACCCTCGAAAAACCTCCCCTTCCGCCCGCTCTCACCCGCGAAACCCCTGCAACCTCCCCACTCTCGCCCGCTCAACCCCTCCCCCCCCCCCTGTCCCCCCTCACCGGCCTTGAGGCTCATTAGGAACACCCTCACCCCCGGGTCATTGCTGAACGAGTCAATGACCTGATTGGGTGGTTTGGAGGATCAGGAATTAGAGGTCGATAAGGGATTAGAGGGGTAGGGGAAAGGTGGAGGGGCAAGAAGGATGATGGCTGTAGGTTTGTCCCGCAGGGGCAGGAAAATGATTTTACGTGCGAGTGTGCATCATCTCCAAGGTCGTGTCAGGACGGGCGGCGTGGCGGCATGAACAAGCCCCAGCGCAGCGGGTCGGGGTGGGGGAGGTGCGGCCTCTGGATGCGAGCTGGTGAGTGGCCCAGACAGGCCGGGGCGCGAGGGCCGCTGGTGGGTGGCCCCGCACCTTTGTGCGCTGCTCCAGGCTCATGCTGCCCTCCAGCTTGACACAGGTGATGCCCACCTGGGGGGGGGAGGGGTGGGGAGGTGGGTTGGAGGGGTGGGGTGGGGGTGGGCGTCGGGGGTGAGGTGGACGCACAACACAGCACAGCCCACGCCGGGGGAGGACAACGACGCGGCAGGCCTTTGCTCGGCTCAGAGGCACGGGCTGCTCCTGCCCTTGCCTGTCTGGGGGCTGGCCGACACAACCACAGCAGGGGCGAATCACTGCAATCTCCCTGCCACCCTCAACAACCCCCACTGCACCCTGCCTCCCCCCTCACCACCAGCCCAAAAAACCTGGTCACCTGCTCCAGCCTGAAGTGTATGAGGTCCAGGAAGGACGTGAACTGAGAGAACACGATGGCCTTTGGGGGGGTGATGGTGGTTGAGGGCCGACGGCTGAGGGGTCGAAAATAAGGGCTCCAACGGGGAGTCGAACCCGAATCTGGCCAGGTGGTGGCGTGCAAGGTGATTGGGTCGCGGCGCGAAAAGCTGGGGGCGACAAGTTGACTCTCCACCACGCGCGCATGCCTTGCCGGCGCGTGCGGGTTTGTCGCGGCTCTAGGGCCTGCCCAAAAACCACCTGCCCCCCCCCCCAAAAAAACGCACACACACACACACATACACACACACACACACACACAAAAAAACACACACACACACACACACACACACCGCCGCCCCACCTTTGCGCTGGGGTCTGCCTCCACCATCCGGTCCAGCTCATAGCGCAGCGCCTCAATCTGGGGAGGTCGTGTGTGTGTGTGCGTGCGGTATGCGCACGTGCGTGTGTGTGTATATGAGAGCCCGTCTGTGTTTGTGTGTGTGAAGGTGCCATTTGTGCGTGTGTGTGCGCTTGTGTGCGGTGGGCGGAGAGGAGAGAATTCACCAGGGTATGAAGGCCGGAGGAAAGGGGCTGATAGGCTGACCCTTTCTGTTGGACACCAACAGCACGGGCGGCGCAGTGTTTAAGGGAAGACCCCGGTGTCGCCACGCCCCCGGGCCCGGCCAGCGGCCGCGGCCCGCGCCGCTGCGCCGCGCGCCTCTGCACCTTGGTGCTGCTCTGGAACTTGTCCCGCGCGACGCGCGACAGGATGCCGCCCTTGCGCACGCGCACGGACGATGAGCCGCCGCCGCCGCCGCACCCGCCGCCGCCGCCGCGCGCGGCCGCCGCCGCGTCGCCACTGTGGCGTGTGAAGTCCAGGGTGAGCGGCTTGTGGCAGGCTGGGCAGGTCGCCTGGGGGTGGGGAGGGGTGCGTGTGAGTGTAGGTGTGTGGGGCGTTGGTGTTTGGGTGTGTGGGAGGGTGTTTTGGGGAGGGGTGGGGTGCTGGGGGTTGGATTTCTGATTGTGGCTGGGTGATGTGTGTTGGGGGAGGGGGGGTGGTCGGAGGGAGTGTCTGGACGCAGTTCCTGGCAGCAGCTGCAAGGTCGCGGCCGGCGCCTTTCCAAGGGCTGAGAACGCCGTCCCTGCCCCTGCTGGGTGTACCACGGCTAGCAGGTGCATGCGGCCGCCGGCCCGCCACTCCCTGGGTTGTATCAACACCCGGCACGCCGCACGGTCCACCAGGAGCGCCCCCAGCACCTCGACAGCCGGATGGCCCAAAATGGCTGCCCCTAGATCAGGACGCACATGCGCACACGCACACACGCATGCGCACCCACACACCCACACACCCACACACCCATACACCCATACACCCACCCACCCATACACACACACACACACATGCGCACACACACGCATGCACACAGGCTCACGCTCACATACACTGCATCCTCCCCCAATCTCTCTTTTCCTCTCTTCCAACACCAAAACACACACACATACACACACACACGCGCGCGCACCGGCCCCACGCTCTCGATGTACTCCACCACGCAGCTCCTGCAGAAGCCGTGGCCACACGCCGCCACCACCTCGTCCTCACGCGGGTCGTGGCACAGGCAGCAGCTGCCGTCGTCAGCGCACGTCGCGCCGCCGCTGCCGCGGCGCCCGCCGCCGGCCTGGGGGCTGCTGTCCTGGGCGCCGCCGCTGGGGCCTGGGGTTATGGGGTGATCGCCGCGGGATGAGAGATGGGGTGAACATTTGTGCGTGCGTGTGTGTGTGCGTGCGTGCGTGCGTGCGTGCGTGCGTGCGTGCATGCGTGCGTGCGTGTGCACGATTGAGTTGTGTGTGCCAGTCTGCAGCAACAGACAGAGGTATGCAAGCAAGGTTTGGGCGTGTTTATCGAGCACAGCACAGCTGGCGTGGTGAGGGTCGGGGCCCCGCCGCACCTGCCGTCCCGTCCTCGGCCCCAGCAGCGTCCACAGCGGCGGTGGCGACCGCCGCCGCGGCCTTGTTGCTGCCCGTGGTGGAGTGCACCACCAGGTAGGGGTGGCACACGGCCTGGTGCGCGGTTTTTAGGAGGGGGTGGGTAGTTTGTTGGTTTGTTGGTTTGTTGGTTGGTTGGTCGGTCACTCGAGGATGAGGCGAGGCGACAAGGGTTGAAGAGTTTTGGGGGGCGCCAGGGGAGGCGCCCCGGGCTGCGAGGGGGCTGCTGGGGCTTGGGGCGGCTCGCGAGGCCCCGGCTGGGCCACGCGGCTCTGCTGCGGTGCGTTGCAGGCGCGGCCCCTGGCTGAGGATCAAGCGGGGCCGGGGTGCCCCTGGAAGGCCGGCCGGCCGGCCTGCCGCGGCCGCGGCGGGAGCTGCCGCGC